CATCCTCTGCTCCCTACGCTCTTCACACAAGAAGTTGTTCAGAAGGATAAATCTCAGGGTTGAATTCAGCATTTTGGTTTAGTCAAAGGTGTTGAAGCTGAGAAGAAAAACATGCAGACATCCTGGTGTGTTTTGGCATAGCTTCCTGGGTCATCCTGCTGCGTGTGCGTTTGAAGTGATACCCCACAATACGTGCTATGGAATGTTTCATGGATAGTGACAGATCGATTTGTAAAACAGTAGTATGTATTCTAACTCACGCTCATACTCTGTTTGAGACTAGAGATCACTTTTTAAACAAGAATTCTTAGGTAAAAATGTAAGAAAACATCTCTTAAGAACGAAGCGGCTACACAGTGCATCTCTGTTCAAGGAACTTGTGGGAGCTCCATGTTAGAAAAAAACATTAGCGATTGCCTTTTCAGTGTTCTTGGGGTTAAAATACACACATGTATGGCTGGGAGAGAAACTTTAATGCAAAACCAACAGGCTTACCACGTCTAAGCCTCTTTGGACCATGTTTTGGGCAGAAACGTGGCAGGAATAAGAGAAATACCTGTGACCTCTGATGTGCTGCTGACAAGATTCTTAGATAATTTTTTTTTTTCATTACTGCAGTAGCTGGATAACAGTGCTTTGACAGTGCTTTTACACTGCTGGAGATCCTACAGAACTAGTTTCTACTAATACTATGTATGGGTGTTTGATAATCCAACAGGTAATTTCTTCAAAGATGGTAATACAGCTCACTAAAGAGTAATTCAGAAAATGTTTGAAGCATGTGTTGTTTCAAATAACATTCCCAGTTCTGTTCAACAGTAGAAATAGGGAAATAAAACCTTTTCTTTCAGGCCTTACAGAAACCTCTGGAAATTCTAAGATAATGAAACCAGTTTTGAAAACAAAAGCAGAAACACAGAATCAAATGGAAGTGATTGCTAGCAATTATATGCCAATGTTCTTCTGATCTCATGGAACTGGTTTTTAGGAATACTGCATCTTGATCATAATCTTTCTGCACAATTAATTGCAGACTTTTGGGACTATAAAGGCCCTCTCTGCAACAGAAGTTTATTAGCATATTAATGTTGAAGGTTACCATACTTGGACATCAAAGTAGTAGTTTCCATGTGAATGGAAATTGGTAGCTACACTTGAAACTAGAAGGCAACATAGTATTTTAGAACTTTCTGAGTGTAATGCTTGATTATAACCTAGTTTTTTAGTAAAAGCACATGCATATTTTTTTCTTTCAAAACCAGGATAATTTTCTATTTGCCTATTTTTGTCAGCTTACTATAGTGACATCCCAGTGCAGTGTGGGAGAACTTCCAAATGTTATCAACTGATATACCAAATGTCTAGGCTGACTAGTTACAGTTGTACATGTATTTTAGAAATATGCCAACAGAAACAGATATATACTGCATACTTGGCATCTTGTTTTGGAGTAATAAAGGTTAATTTTAATTATGCATATTGGTTTTCTTTTTATTCACTGTAAATTGTTATAAAATGTAATACCAAGTTCCCTACAATGTAAATTGAGGTGTATAAAACATTTAAACTTGTAAATAAATTTAAGAATGATGGCAAAATTGCACTCTCTCTAATTAGATTTGCAGGGAATGTTCTTCCTAGAAATTCTGGCCTTTTTTTTTCAATTACTGCTTCAGTAGTGGGACTTGGATGGAAGCTTTTCCCTCTAAATAATAATGTGAGTCTGCATTTAGAAACAAAAGCAAAAATAACTTTTCACTTTTGAAGTCACTAAATTCGTTATTGAATGATCTGCTTTGGCAGGTAAGTCCTTAAGGTCTTATCTTATTCATTCAAAAGCTTCTTGCTTTATGCAAAGAAATGAGCACAGTCTCAGGAAAGTGATTATCTCATTGGGCCATGTAAGAAGACTGTTAGAGATTACCCATCAAGTGTAAAAGGTATCTCTGCTTTCTGGCCACCTTGCCAGCAGAGGTGTTACTGGAGAGTTTGCCATTGCAATGCACTCAATCATCTAGGAACAGTTTCTGTGGGGTTTCAAAGAAACTTGGCCTATTTAGGCACTGGGTGTGACCTCTGGTGTTCTCAGGTACATCCAGGAGCCGAAATTTCTCCTCACAAAATCACTGGCCAGGTAGGAGACCACAAAGGCAACTTCCAAATGTCAGTCAGATGGTGAGAATAACCTGGGTTCCCTTTCAGTACCCAGTCTGACATTGAAAACAGGGCAGAGCGAGGTGCTTTGATGAACTGTTTGATTTCTAAATAGCCCATCATAAGCACGCTGGCACATAAAATAAGAAGTGCAGCCTAAGGCTTGATTCTGAATTTCCTGCACTCCCAAGGCTGACTTATGCCAGAATTCTGCCATCTAAGCTTAATAAAAAGAAAACAAACTTGTAGTGAAAGATGTGGCCTGTTTTTTCTGGCTGGCTAGTACTGTGTCATGAGTTGTATCAGCTGAAATGTCAGAATGATTTATTTATTTTTTTTTTAATCTGGATCCCTTAAATTGGCTGTGAAAATAGAGAATTACACCACTGGTATCTGTGTGCTCTCTTGATCTCAGATATGTTTCCTAGAAGCGAGGAGAGCTATTTTTGCTTCTAAAACACGGCCAAAGAAGAGGGTAAGGGTGAGAGTACTCACTAAGTAGGCCGCTTGCTCTGCTTCCCTCAGAAGTGGATATCCATTCTTTTTCCAGGAGCATGATGCCCCTTCCCTCTCGTTAGTATTTATTAAGATGCTTTTCTCTGGTGTTGGGTGATGTAAATGCATCATCTGCTCCTTTGGCAGCTTCACCAGTGCAGAAATGGCTGTATCGTTTGCCATAATAAAAGTACAAATATGGACATTGAAACAATCATCGAATTGTCTAGGTTGGAAGGGACATTTAAGATTATTGAGTCCAACTATCAACGCCACTAAACCGTGTCCCTCAGCACCATGTCTATGTGTCTTTGAAACAGGTGATCAAGTTAGTTGAGCACGACTTGCCTTTCATAACCCATGCTGACTGGGCCTAATCACCTGGTTGTGCTGTACATGCTGTGAAATGTCACTCGGAACAATCTGCTCCACAACCTTCACCGGGACCAAGGTCAGACTGACAGGTCTCTACTTCCCCAGATCCTCATTCTGGCCTTTCTTGTGGGTGGAGTGTCACATCTGCTAAGTGATGTGATACTTACGTCACCGGGACCTCCCCAGTTTGCCAGGACTGACTGCTCAGAAACGATGGGAAGTGGCTTGGTGAGCACTTCCACCCACTCTCTCAGTATCCTTGGGTGGACCCCATCTGGCCCCATAGACTTGGGTGTGACTAAGTGGTGTAAAAGGTCCCTCACCATTTCCCTTTGGATTATGGGGGCTTCATTCTGCTCCTTGCCCCTGTCCAATAGCTCAGGGAGCTGGGTACTCAGGGAACAGCTGGTCTTACTACTAAAGACCGAGGCAAAGAAGGCATTAAGTACCTCAGCCTTTTCCTCATTCTTTTTCACTATGTTTCTGCCCCTGTCTATTAAAGAATGGATATTATCCTTAGTCTTCCTTTTACTGCTAAGGTATTTATAGAAACGTTTCTTATTGTCCTTAACATCAGAAGCCAGATTAAGTTCTAGTTGGGCTTTGGCCCTTCTAATTTTGTCCCTAAACAGCCTCACAACATCTTTGTAGTCCTCATGTGTGGCCTGCCCTTTCTTCCAAAGACCACAAATTCTTTTTTCCCCAAGTTGCAACCATGGCTCTCTCTTCAGACAGGCCAGTCTTTTTGTCCTGATGGCTCATTTTTCAGCACATGGGGATGACCTGTGCATATAAGACTTGCTTCTTCAAAAACATCCAGCCTTCCTGGACTCCTTTGCCCTTCAGGAGGCACTGAGACAGGAGAAGTGAGGACTCTGGAGCACGTTGTTGGGATTTTTGGGGGGTTTGTTTCATTTTGGTTTTTTTTAGATCTAGCTTTGTGGCTAGTGCTCTGTCCTGGATAACGCTGCTGGCTGGAATACTGAGATTCCGTGAGGTACCACACAGGCTGATGTACCACTGGCTTTTGACTTCCACCTCAGGAGCAGATTTCTTCTAAGACTGATACTATTTTACAGTCTTTGACTACCATTTCAAGAACTGCTTCTCCTTCTATGAACAAAACTTGTTCTTCAAGTCCAGAGTGTTGAGAGACTTTTTTATAAACATTTACCCATTATTACAGAGCTACATTCACGGTAGAGTATTTAGCAACCTTAGTAATGAAAAAACACACCCAAATTTGATTTGAATACCTTTCCAGGTAGGAAGGTTCCACAGAAAAACTGGTGTGAGAAGGAAACATAATATTCTTTGGAGACAGAAATTTGCAGGGCAGTTTAGGATACCTTTTGCAAAGAACTTCATGTAAGAAGTCTCAGGCTGTCGTAGGAAGAGGGGTGGAGGTAGTATGATTGGTGGTGGTGGTTGTTTTGTTTTAATCTCCACAAAGCTAAAAAGTCTATTGCTCTAGGACCTAGGGATAAAAGTAGGTATGGAAAGACACATCAGCTGAAGGGCATTTCTATGCACATTAAGCACTCCTCCAAAAATCAGCTTCATGCTTTACAGAGGGAGATAGGATGTGCCTTAATAATGACTGTAGTTGTTACTCTTCAGAGCATCTCCCCAAAGGTTTTATTTTCATCCATCACTTCAGTATCTGAGCAACTAACATAAAGTAGTATTCATATATTCATAGTAAAGTTTCAGGTAAACTCCATGTGGTCTCTGGCACTTTATTTCCCCTCCAATTTGAGAGGGTGTGCTCAGAATCAAATTTTTTTGAGAAGTTTTGGGGTTTGATTGTAATTTCCTTTCTTTTGGTGACTTGGTTGTTAACAGCTTTTTGGACAGAAAGGTGTCACTGTTCTTTGATAAATGCTTTTGTCACATTCCAGGTTCAGCCAATATTGAGTAACTGGTCACATAATTTCTTTAAGCTGATGCAGTGGTCAGTGTTTATAATAATTTTAATACATTCAGTAAAAAAGTCACAGAAAAAGGTTCAACAACATTGAAGTGTTAGTTAAGCACATACAAAAATGAGCAATGCAAATCCATTCTGTACGTTTTCATTTCTTCTGTTATTTGTCTTGGCTGGCTTTACGTAAGTTTTGCTTCCCTGTTGTATTTATTTTTCTGTCCTTCATTTTCTTCATTTCTTATATTCCCAGAAAGTCACTGCATTTTAATCTATATATATCATATTTAACTTGGTCACAGACAATCTTTAGAATTTCTAGACATAAGCTCTAGTTTCTTAGATTTGGTACTGTGGAGCGATCTGCCAAAGTTTCCAAAAAAAGTTAAAAACACTGGAATAAAAACAAGACCATGAAGACCCCCAAACAAAATAACAAGGAACAAGATCTTGAAAAATGTCCTAAAGATGTAGGTTTTTGCAAAAGCCAGCACAAAGACTCCCAATATAGTAGAAACTGCACCTTGTAACACTGGGTAACCTAGGATGGACAGAGCTTCGATTGCCCTTTTATTGGCTGATGATTCTCCACTCGTAACAAAGGCATAGGAAATATGAGCAGAAAAATCTACTGAAAACCCTATACAGATGACCAGGTTGATCATGGATATGCAATCGAGATTGATGTTAAAACCCTATACAGATGACCAGGTTGATCATGGATATGGAATCAAGGTTGACGTCCCAAAAGGTCATGAAACCAGCAACACCAACTATAACAGAAGCTATAGCAAAAGTCACCCACACGCAACACAGAGGGTTGGGAATAAGCAAAAGGGAGATGACGAGCATTGCCCCAGCAGCAATGATGACGTTTTGAACGGTGTTCTGCACTATTACCAGGAACTGATCGTAGTAGATGAATGCTGGGTGATACACCATTAATGGGATACTGCACTGCTTGGCTGTCTCTCTTAACTGATTGAGAAGATTCTTCTCATCAATGGATGAGGTCACGTTCACCGTCTGGATGAAGAAACGCGAAGCTTCTATTTTATCCTGGGTCTTGTTAATGTCCCACTCAAAACTGGGAACAATTTCGAACAGCACAGGTAAGTTATTAATGAAAAGAGTCTTATTGCTTATATTTATCAAACCACTTTCAGCAAGATTTGTGTATACTCTTAGCCATGACTCCGAGAAGTTCTTATCGACATAGGAAATGGCCTCTAAATTCTGTGTGCAGTTCTCAATGCCAAGACGAACAGTCTCATTCCAGTAATCTACGCTTTCAGTAACGACAACCATGATCCTGAATCCATACGTTGAGAAGTATTTGTTGTTGTCATCATAGAATGGAATAACATAAGAGTCATCACTGGCCAGATTTCGAAGATCGATGCCTTCCCTGACTTGAGTACATCCATAAATACTTACACCCAAATATGCTCCATACAGCAACACCACAAGTAGCTTGATCCACGTATTTGTGAAGAAAGGACCATAATACTTTTTAAAGAATGTGCTCATTGGATGTTCACTTTCTGACGAAGATGACTCCCCAGAACAGCTGCAGATACAGCAAGCATTGTACAAGCAGGACTTCTCAGCCTGACCTTTACCTACCTGCACAGGCATACACGTTAGCCAGTGTCGGTTTCCTTGCTCCCTTCTATGATTCAATACAATAATTCCCCCAAAGAAGGTCAGGATATATATATAGCAGAAGACAAAAGCTGTGCCTGTATAGAGGCAAAATGATCTCACGGATGGAAAAGCAGTCCAGGTGCCAATGAAGAAGGCCAAAACATCAGTGAGAGTGGTGATGGTCACAGAAAGTGCTGCTTCTGCATAAGTCTCGGCCAACCGAGACCTAACATCGGATTTCTCTTTTCTTCTTGAACTTTGTTCCCAAGCAGCAATCAGGATGAACATGTCATCAACACCAACTCCTGCAAGAGGGGAAAAGTTAATGCTGCATTGCAGAAGACAGCTTCCACTAACGCCCAACCAAAGCACAAAATGAATCGCGTTGAAGTCTGCATAAGATTTTGAAAAAGAAAGTTAGGCAATAACATTGCTTTAGTGCTGTGCAAGTTAAACAGATACAGGAAAACAGATCCTTCATGTGTAGCTGTGCTTATTACATTTCAGGAATGCCAGGTGACCTGATGGGTTGTTGATCCCTCACCCTACTCTGCTCAAGGACTGAGCACACCTAGTCCATCTCCAACAAGTGTGTTGCAGCTGCTGCCCAGGTGTCCAGTGACGTAGATTACATAGATTCTAATACATCACTTACTCTAATGCTCAACTATCCTTACCCCTGGGAGCGTCTCCTATTACCTCTGGAATCTCTTCTTCATTACTGCACCAAATTAGACCAGAAATTTCTTGCTCTGTCTTCAGCAGACAGGGAGAACAGTCGCTATCACACGGGAGAACGGTGGTCCCAGTTCTCCAGGGATTCATCTCTTAATGCTCTTTGCTCTCCACTGATCTTCTCTCCTGTTTTCTTCAAGCATTTATTCACGGTGTATTACTCAATTATCTTCACATTTATACTGAGGTGCCTGCATATATTACCCCCCAGAGTCCCGGGAAACCCTGCCACAAAGACTGGGTCCTAGGGTAGAGTTTTTGCTAAGACATAAGAATAAATGAGCACAAGTTTGAAAAGGAAAAGCCAGTGGGCTTCTCTCAGCTCTGCTCACTCTCCAGGTTTTAATCACAGACCTTTCACTATTTTGCTAGTGTTACTACATCAAAGGCTCTTCTATTCCCTGAAAATTAATCACAGAAAAAGGGAAGCAAGACCACGTGAACACAGGAGCAAGCCTAGGTGATACAGCTGAGCATAAAAGAATAGGTGAAATCACTATCTGCTGCCTGAACAGGCACTTGCCAGTAGACATGCAAAGATGAATTAAGCAGCAACTCAAAAGGTACTACGGGATGGCAGTGATCCAGGCTGCTTCCAGAAAACAGGCAGGCTTCAAAGCAATTAATCTGATGTACAGATAATTTGTTTGCTTAATGCAAGGAAGACAAAAGTTTGCATGCTATTTAGAAAGATCTGAAGAGATTGGCTTAAGCCCTTCCGCAGGCATAGAAAGGGGCCTTTCTGAAATTTAGAGCCTGTGCAATTGATAAAGAAATGAAAGCAATTGCAAAATGCATTTTAATTGTGCAGGAAACGAAGAAACAATGTGTCCCCTAAGGAGCATTTGCATTAGATATCTGGCATGACGCAGAGCCTCTATCAACCTGAGAGTTCCATGTGCTTTCCTCAGCATGAGACCAAGACCAAGAAAATATCCCATAAACCTTCTCATTTACAGTTTCATGCCACATCAGTCAAACTAAAGCAGGCATCATTTTTGGGGTCTGCCAGGGCCC